TCTTATTTAATAAATTAATATAGTACTAAAGTATTAATATATTAAGATAACCCTAATTTATTTAAAACTAGTATTATAGAATTTTTAAATAGTACTACTATTATCCCTCTTAGTAATCTAATATATATTCTTATATAAATATCTCCCTCTAATTCTTAATAGTTTAAATAAAGTTTAGAATAAGATATTATATTAAAGATAATATTAAACTACTCTCTATAATAAGTATTATTATCTATAAAAGATTTAATTAAATTCTTAATATTTTTAATAAGATCTTAAGTAAAACTATATTTAGTAAACTAAATATCTAGTAATTTATAAACTATTTATAAGTTACTATTTATTAATTATAGTTTTTATAGCTTCTTTCTAAACTCTTTATTAATACTATATTACTTACTATAAATAGATATAAACTACTTAATAAAGCTAGCTACTTAATCTAAAGCTTTTTAGAGTAAATCTAATACTACTAGTAAGGATAAATAAATTAGGAGTATAATACTTAATTAATAAGTACTTAGAAAGTTTAATAGTAGAAGAGTTAGTAATAAATACTATAAGATATTTATATATAGTTAATATACTACTAATATTAGTATTAATAATAGTAGCTATATATATAAGTTAGGATATTAAAGATAATAATTTAGTACCTCTATATTACTATATATATTAATAATAATATTACTATTAATATTAATTAGACTAGATCTTAACCCTAATAATAGAAGTATAGTATTTTTAGCCTTCTCTTCTATTATTACTATTATTTTCTAATTATTATTAACCTTAATAATATTCTTACTTCTCTTATTTTAGTATTTCTAATCCTCTATAAACTAGTTATAAAGAATCTTATTAAGTAATTCTTTAAATAGTTCTATATTAGTAATATTAATCTATCTAGTTATAAAAACCTTTACTTATTTCNCTCTATATAGTGAGATTTAATCTTATAGTACTTTTAGTTTAATATATAATATTAGTTAAACTTCTTATTACTTAAATTATTCTTATATTTCTAATACTCTAAATAAATATATATATAGAGAAGTTATCTATATATACCCTCCTTCTAATACTTAATATTTATAAAATCGTTAAGTTTATAATTAATTACCTCTTATATACTAATTAAAATACCTATTTAGCTACTTTTTTAAGGTATTTATATACTAATTACTATACTACTAGAGATTAATATAGTATTATATTACTACTTAATAATAAAGTAAACTTTACTTCTCTCTTTAATTTATTTAAAAGAGGGAATAATATTAATTTATAAAATACTTAGCTAAATAACCCCTCTAGTAAATAGATAGACCTAAATAAAGATTAGTATTACTTTAAATATACTAATAAGTTTCTTCTAAGTAATAATAATAATAATACTAACTTTCTTTAGAATATATAAATAAACTACTTTTATTTTAAATTAAGTATTACTATCTACCTCTTAATCTCTATTATTTATATCTAATATATTAGTAATACTAAATCTATTATATATAATACTCTTAATAGTTAGATTAAGAATAAGTAAACTATTACT